TATATATATATATATATATAGATGATGATGATGATGATGATGATGATGATGATGATGATGTCTTAAAGAGCCTTATCACATTTAATTTCCATGGTTAATTTTACTGGTACTTGTTATAAAGTAATATATTTCAGGGGGCTATAATCCCACTGCATATCTCGTATCACATACTACTTATGACTCTCCTAACTTTGTAACATTTTGATTTAGCCTTATAATATTGAGCTTGTTTTAAAAGTAACCTGTAAAATTTATTGTCAGCATATTAGTAAAAGAAATTGAAAATTATTTTTTGTTCAATGACTCTGATTCTTTTTCTGATGATTCCTGAAGTGCCCTCCGTAAAAAAATGTTCTTGCACTTAGGTATACACAGAGTTACTGTCACAAACCAAACAGAATTTTCTTTGGGTACAAACTTATTTCTGATTCAGAATGGATGTGCAGATGGACTAGTTCTTAAAATCCAAACAAAGAATAGTTAAATGAAAGACTCTGCCACTTGTTACTATAAAACATAGCTGAGTTTGCTATTGGAATCCAACACTTTCCACTTGTAACTGGCACACATAAATATGCATTTACCTTCAATAAGGTCGCTAATATACAGTGAAACCATATTTTGATTTTTGAATTAAGCCCTGCCTATTAGAGATATTTGAAATTTCCTTAATCAGGAGTTGTTTAATGATTAAGTATCATTAACACAAGCAATAGTTTGCAAACCACTTCAAATCATCATCTCATATCCCAGATGATGACCAGCATGGATATGTAAAGGTATGTCTGCATAAAATTTAAGCAACAGAAACACAGTTGTTGATCTATGTGACAGCATCTATATACCAACATTGTATCTTACTAAATAGCCAAATGTAAGTAGAACATAACTCTTAAGTTGGTATGCAGCTAAATGCTTACACTCAAATCATTACATTATAAAAATAAGACAGTAAAAGTCAAGCCAAGAGTAAACAGGGACACAACTCTTCTGCATTATTCATTGGCATTGGCACTGAACAGGAACAGTCTCTGAGACCCTTTCACATCAGCTTCCTAACCATTGTCAAAAATAAAGGAAAGGGGATGGATGGATGATTGGTGGTTCTGAGAGATCCCTGACTTACGTGTGAGTCTCATCACAAAACTAAAACTCTTGGCTACGTATTCCCTTCTCAGGCCTCACTTTGGCTGCTTGGCAGGGATAAACTGGCAACTATACAGCAGTTCTTTCATGAATGCAGGTTTGTGTTCCCATACACTCCCTGTTTTCACCACTGCTGTTTGCATTGTGATTTTCCCAAACAGTCCCAATAAATATTCAAACTCATAAAGTTCCACCATACAGTACTTGAAAAGACTGTGTGTCCAATGTTAAGCAAAAGGAAAACACTCTGGAAACTTCTGTTTGCCAAGTAAGAAGTTTGTGTCTAATGTGTCACACATTCTGTAATACAAGCAAGGTGGTATAATTTACAAGATCTACTACCTCAGTTGCTCCATTACTTGATTCATGATTGTTCTGATCAGCTGCAAAACCAGCTAGAATCAGGGCAACACTCTCTGTAATAATTTGATCTGTGGACTATACGGTATCAGGTTTCCCAAAATACATGGATTTTGCTATTACTCAGATAACAGTGAAATAATCTGTGATATTGGCAATAATAATTTTAGTCTTATTAGATTGTTACAAAGTTTACTGTGCTAACCTGTGTAAAGAATTTTAAATACTTGCAATGAACTGCGTAAATATTAAATAGGATTAAAATAAGTAAGCAGGAGATGTTGTCCAAAGGATGGGCAACACTTGCTATTGAATGCAACAGAAGAATGAAAGTATTTCATCTGTCTGCTTCCAAAGCAGACTAATTATCAATCTAGCCTAGCTGTCCTTTTCTCTTTAGGGCACTGGAAAACTGAAGAATTAGGATTAGTTAGGATTTTTTCTGCGTTCCGAGTAGTACTAAATTTTCATGGGGAAAATCCTAAGATCTTTTCCGTTTCATAATTAACTTTCTTTGTTTTCAGAATGTCATAAATGTATAAATAACATTATATATTTGAAAGAAGATGTGGTATACGTTATTATCATAGCTTTCTGAAAAGAAAGGTCTTCAGGGTTGTAATGCAGCATATACTGAAAACAATCGGATTTAAGTTCCTTGTATTTTATTCCATAGGCAAGTAACCTGATCTTCTTCATACTAACTTAAAAGTGAGTCCCAAGATATTCCCATGCTATGACACCATTTAGTCAATGCTGATATACTAGTGATCAGTATAGATGCTTGTGTGTGTATGTGTGTGAGTATATATATACTGTATATTCTATGGTAGATGGAGTGCAAGAGATCTATGTTCAAAATCTAATACTTCCAGTTAAAAGCTGCTACCCAAAGCCAAGTAAGTTGTATCCAATGTGCTGAGGGAAAGGTGGTTATTTCTCAGGGCTCAGACTCACAGCATGCATGCCATTGCAGAAATGTGTTTTACTAATTGTTTTAGAAAGATGCGTCCTTTTGACCTCCTCTCCATGTCACCCCCAATGCACTGCTAAGGCAGCCTAGAGCCATCCTTTAGTAGTTCCAGTTCAGAAATAGTGTTTTCCTTCTTCTCCTGACACAAAACTTCCCATGAGAATAATCTGGACTGACACTAGGACAAGCTTGGAAATGAGCTGGTCAAGGACAGTGATCTGCAAGACTACTAAAAATGCTCCCTCTCCATTGATTTGGTGGGCACTGCACCTCCATGTACATCTTTAACTATAATTTATTGCTGAGAGTTATTCCAAAGTAAAGAGAAAAAGACCAGGTGTCTGGTCTCTCTCTCTTTACATTGGAATAACTCTTAGCAATAAGTCAACCAGAAAACATGCTACCAGCTGTGTGTCTAGGATGGGCGCATGTGTGTGTGCTGGGATGATCAAAATTCAGGAAAGCACATTAAATTCATACACACAAATGAAGAATGGGAAGTGAAAAGGGAAAGAGGCTTTTTGCCTAACCAAAAAGGGTTTGCTGGGAAAACTGACTTCAGGAGGGAGAAAGATAACAAAGATCCTCAGAGGCACAACACTGAGATTTTCTGGTTCAGGTTTCCCTGCTTTGTATTTCAAATCAAATCAGCTCTTTCAATGAGTGAGGCAGATATTTCAGGGAGGGGGGCAGTATCTATGAAATTGTTTCACAGAATAAACATTCAATAAACAATGAAAATTAAGACTGAGTAAATAATTTCTTTAAAAGTCTTTAATTCCCAATCCTATTGCGCCTCACATTCAGGAGAGAAATTGGTGGCTCATTTCTCTGCCAGCGGGTGATGCTGGATGGAATGGGAAGGACCACATGGAATCCACCACACATTACCCTTGGTGAAACTACTCCCACTGACTTACATGAGGACATCAATGCTGCCCAGCCTCGTTGCTGAGCCACAGGAACAGTAGGCTGTAGGAGCAACACAATGAATGCCAATATGCTTTCCTTTTGACTCAGGGATGGGAAGAATTAACATTAACAGGACTGTGAGGAAGTCCTGTTAATCTCCTTCCAAATCTGTTTATGTGAGCAGAAAAAACCTAACTGAGTTTCCACAGCAGGGTATAAAGCAACTCCGAAGGTGATTTAAATTTGGAAAAGAGCATGGGGAAAAAGTGACGCTATCTTCACCTACTTTCACATTCCAATCTATTCTGCCCCTTTCAACTTCATTTAGAAGTTTCTGGTAAATATAGAAATTTTATTATTCTAGTCATTTTAATATGTATTTTTACACTATCTTTATAATTTTTTAAAAATGCTTGGGGGGGGCAGGGAGAATAACAAAAGTATAGGCTCATACAACTGCGCAATGATACACCAAGGGATTAATAGACTGCCTAAAACCATCTGACAGCTGTTCTGAAGCTCAGTCAAAATGTTTTTGTAATCTCATTCTCATGCACAAAAACATTAAAATGTCATCATTTAGAAGATTTGGAGGATCTGAAGGAAACAAATTCTTAAGAGTAGGGAGCTGGGACCAGTTGACATAACACTCTCTATTTTATTTTTTGTTGCAGGAAGGCATTCCTGTAATACTTCAGTTGTAACTAGAGGAGACACAGATATTGTCTCAAGATGCATTAATATTATTATTTTCCCAATGCTTAAAATACAAGAGGAAATTTATGATTAAATACAATTCTCCTTCCATATAATGTCCCTGCTGTTTTGTATGGAATGGCATTCAATCGGATGCTGCCTATATTACGACTAAATATAACATACAACCTACACACTGATTTTTTCAATATCTAATAAAAATATTTTCTAAGAACAGTTCATGCAGCATAAGACTGTATGTAGATCTTTACTTTGTAGGTATTTTAACTTTTAGGTGTTTTAACTTTTGTTAAACTTGCTTATCTTCTATTTCCTTTTATCTATATATCTCTATCTATACACACACACACACACACACACACACATTAAGTAACAATACAATGTAGATCTTAATATTAGGTAATTAGTTCAAGACTGAAACTATTAGCATATAACTAATACTTTGATGTGAATTGCAGTGGTTCTTTCTTTTTTATCTTATAGAGTATTCAACTTTGGATGAAAAGTTAAATAATTTTATGCTTATAGCACTGAAACCCTAAATGGCAATTAATGCTGATAAAATTTTTTACTTTTCTCTTTTTACTTTCAATACATTAATGTTTTTAAATAATAGAATGTTAATAATTTTTAATCATATTATACAAACATTACTGCATTGATATCTACATTGAAATAATATATCATGATTTACAATATTACAACAATAAAAATGACCATATGTAGATCTTTACATGACAAACCAATCTATTCCACAAAGATTCCACAATCATTTTGGAATGCCACATAACTGTCACAAAAAGCACTCTTTCTCAACCTGGTTTGCCCCATACATGGTGGGGAACTCTGGCAGCTGCAGTTCCATTGTTTTAGCTCTAGAACCAACTGTGATAAGGTCTGAGGGCAATTGTTTCTCTAGAAGAACCTTCAACATGCACATGGAAATGGAAGAGTCAATCAGGACACAGAGCTATATCCACATACCAAAGCACTAGACTGAGACTAGTGATCTACTATATGAGAACCATGATATCTGACAACGAAGTATTTTTCTACAAAATGCTGGTGAAGGGAGGTAGAAAGCTTGGTAGTAAATCTAGTAGAATTTGGCCCTAATTCAACATTCCACCCCACTGGCTCTCTTGTGTGTGTGTGTGTGTGCACGCGCATCTGCACGCGCACATGTTATACGTGTGTATATACACCTTTCGTCTGAAGAGCAAAGTCTGGCTTTCCTCTAAATACTATTCCATACAATTATACAATTTAATTATGCAATTAAAAATGTGTACATACTGTGTGTTTACAAGAAAAAGTAACTAACAACTAATACCTCACTAACCTGAGGTAATTTTGGAGGGATTGGCTCATTCTGAAGAGCTTGAAGTGCCTTCATTGCAGCATTGTGTCTAGCAGCTTGTCGAGTCTTTCCTTCACCAAAAAACTCATGCTCACCTACAGTTAACTGAACGTAGAAAACCTTAGGCACTGGGCAGTGGTATCTAAGAAAAAAAAATATGAGGAAAGTATTTCTCACTATATGTCAATTCCACATACTAAGCAATTTGTACATAAATTATAATTGAAATACATCAGCAAGAATTAAGATGTGGTTATAATATTTTGGTGTGATAAGTTAATTGAAAACTGTTTCATTTTTTCATTATGGTTCTTTTTTTCCAGACTATGTTTCGGTATGAGAATTCTTTTGGAGCTCATGCCTGCAATCAAACAGAAGGCTGGTTAGTTTCTATGATTTAGATGCAGCCGTAATGACTAATTATTGGTAAAAGCAAAAATACCTATTCAAAGATATGTATTTGTTGCAAGTTTTATCATTCTGTTGTTCTAAAAAAATTCAGGACAGATGAATTTCTAATGCTAGCCTCAAAATACTCCTGTAAGCCCTAACTTACCTAGCAAATTTCAAGATCAATCTGATCCAAATCTTAATTCTCCTAGTATAGGATTCTAATCAATCCAAGCAGAGGTTTTATGAGTGACTACCAAATAAACTAATATATATGTGTACTGTGAATTTCCTGAAGCCATTTCTCACATCATCTTAATGTAACATTTATGAAGCACTGCAGCGACAACAGTGTATCAGGTACTTTTTCTGTGCCAAACTTAGTGGTATAATTTAGAATTCCATAAAAGGTGCTTTACCTGGGTAGTGCCAACCATGCCTATATGGGCAGAGGTCCTGATGCATTTAGTATATGGTTTGTAAATATTTTAATAAGCTTTAAAATAAATTCCCAAGGTGGGCAACTATTTTGGGACACCACTAATAGGAGACCATTTAAGAACTAAAAATATTAAACTGGAGCTCAGTTTCTAAGCTCTGACCCAGCACAAAGCTCTTAAGCAATGAAGGAATGTTTACAACTAGTTCTTAGCATCTGAAAACAGGGATTCATAACATGCCTTCTAGTTGGTGTGATTAGGCGCCATTGTAATTAAATAAATTGCTATGGTCTGTTGACAATTACAAAACTCATTTTGGTTTGCCACAAAGGCAAACAAGATTTCTGTTTATTATAATTTTAATGGAATATGATGTCATATGGAACAAACATGCTGAATCAATCTATTTCTTTTCTAGCCAAATATTAATTGCATACTAAACATCCCTTAAGACTTCTCTGTGCATGGCCACTAAATATATATAAAAATAAAGTATTACTTTATCAAATTATCTGCTCACACTGCATTTCCCATAATTCTTCCCATCCCCCTATGGCATCAACATTCCTGGAAGAATGGATGCGTTTACAAACTTCGTAACAAAACTGGTAAAATTTCAAAGTGACATGAACTGCTTGTATTTAATTCCATTTTCTCTGCAAATAACTTGCATTATAAATCTATGTCTATTAGATGTACTGTTTGCCTCCTTTGCAGTTTTTTGAATTGTCTATTAAGTTTCTGGATAAACATGTTTGTACTACATTATTTCTGAGGGAACCAAAGATTCTCCCTTTTTAGTGCAAAACATTTTTGAGCAAAATAAAGGATAAATGTCCCTAAAATTCTTTTTTTTAATTATTATTACATTTTTAATCAATCGGATGACTGGAGTTCTGTAAGTGAATTAGTCCTCATTTAGTGACCACAATTGGGACTGGCAACTTGGTCGTTAAACGAAGTGGTCACTAAGTGAAACCATGGCTGTACTTATGATCTTACATCAGCTTTCCCTTGCTTTACAGACCTGTGAAGGTCGTAAATGCGAGGATTGGTCATAAAGTTACTTTTTCATCACTACCGTAACTGTGAACAGTTGCTAAATGAGGTAGTCACTAAACAAAGACTACTTAAAATAGCAGGAGAACTTTAAAAAGTATCCAAATGCTATAAAAATGCCCAGAAGGATAATGTCCTGAATAAAAAGGAAATCAATTCTAGCTGCTTTAGCAGGGCATTCCACAAGTAGGTACCTGCGAGTAAAAAAGGCCTTTTTCTTGTAGTCAAGCATCTAACTTTCCCCAGCAGGAACATTCAGAGAAGGGCCTTTGAAGATAACTGGAGTATCTGGTAGAAACCTATGAGAGGAAGTATTCTCTCATTCTCTTCAGAAAACCTCTCATAACTGCCTTTTAACACAGGGTGACTCCTGTTCATAGCCATGCAGTTTATCACATCGGATGCACTTCTGATGGCATGTGTGTGTGTGCGTCTGTGTGTCCCTGTGTGTGTCCCTGTGTGTGTGTGTATGTAAAATTATCCTCTTTGTTTCAATGAACAATGATGTTATTAAACACTCCTCTGATCTGACTATATAATGACATCTTTAAGGGACATTCATAGAGTAGATTAAAGGCATTTGACTGTTTCTTTTGACCTCAAGGCACAGTCATGTAGCTGAGACCAGTTCTTGCTGAGGAGGAATTTAGAATGGATTTCAGTAGATCGAGCCTGCTTAATTATTAACGATTGTAAAACAAATGCCATAAAGAAACAATTTAATAAAAGTAAAAAACCAACAATAGAAATAAAATTCAATTAGGAGAAATTATGGTTTAATTTCCTGTAGAGTTCACACCCATCTATAATTGATCAGTGGTACAATAAGTTTTAGTATACAGACCAGAGTCAATTTATGTGATCCTTCTTCAACTCTTTTATATGGCAGCATCTTTTAAGAGAATAATTATGCCAACTGAAGCAAAAACGAGAAGCAGCTAACCTGGAGGTTTAAAATAACTTTAATTAAGAGGTTGCCAAATTAACCAGAAAAATCCAAACATGTTCTATCTTGGAAAAATGCATTTCAGAGTCTAGACTATATGGGCGTGGTGTGTGTGCACGAAGGAGGAGGAGGAGGAGGAGGAGGAGGAGGAGGAGGAGGAGGAGAGGGAGGAGGAATGGTCTCCCCCAGACACAAACAGACATTATGGGATGCCAGCTGTCACTTTGATCTAGACTTGTCTCTGAGAATCAAGAAGAGTCATCTTCCCCTGCATACATTAAAACACTCAACATGACATACAACCTGTGTTATTTATCAGTGGTATTTTGAAGGAGTCTTTGATCTACCTATAACTCAGTACGACCAGTGAGTCATAGTCTGTTCAGCAACCCACGCTGAGACAAAACAACGCTACTTCAGCCAACTGAAAGCTAGTTCAACATTCAGCAAAGGAATCTGGCAAAATCCTTGCTCATGGTCACATATGATAAGTTTCCTGCATATGAAAAGCTAGTAAATCTTTGTCCCCAGTGAGCTGGTGTCCATATTCAATGGGCTCTTTTTCAGAATCCTCTGTCTGCATTCTGAATTGTTTCAGTCTTTCTCTTCGAGAATTTAAACTGGCTCTTAATTCCCTTGGAAAATAATGTTCTATATTTTTTCCAGCCCTGTATTTCTAGCTGATTTTTATGCCACTTTCTAATAATGAATAAAATATGTAAAAAACTAGAGTTAACTTGATACCACTGTTCTAAAATTATCCTGATAAGCTCACCAGATAGCTTTGCTAATTAGGAAATTTAATTGTAACATCCATCTTTCATTTTATTCCTTGAGTTTTAAGTGACAATCTGAAATAAGCTCATCCATCATATCAGGATAGGTCATCTTTCTCCTTGACTACTGCATGAGGTGGGATTTGAGTGAACGCGTGTGTGTGTGTCTCTGTGTGTGTGTGTGTGGTGCTAGAAATTTTAACATAGCTGACCATCTAACAGAACAACAACTTTGAGTGAAATACAACAATTGAGAAATAACAACTTCTTAAAACATCGGGCGGAATAATGCTGAAGCCACTGTGTTAGGAAAAATCTCTCTCACACTCAAGGAAATGGATAAAATTCAACAGTAATTAGTAATATTTCAGGGGGTAAGTATCAACAAATACAATTTATTTTGTTTAAGGAAAACAGCTGAAAGCTTACAAGATTGCCACATTTTATGAGATCTCATTGATCTCGCCCCTAAGATTTAATGCAGTCTTACTCAAGAACACAGTAACCATGCAAGATTTGATGTCATGAGAGTTTCTTAATTTTTAACAAATACATTTATTGCATTTGGGGAATCCGCAGATGTGGGTGCCCTCGTGTCAGTTCCTGATTAACACCTTCCGAACATTAGTAGACTTTACCTGTATTAAACACAAGTTACACAAATTGCAAAGTATCCCAGAGAAGAGACAACTATAGGAAAAGTCTAGAAATGCTAGCTGGTCCAAGCTAACAGAAACACTTCAGAACAAGGAATACCTTGCAAGACTATAATGAAAGATAATGTATTATATGGGTAAGAACTGGAACAGTACTTAATTAGCATATGCTGTAAATATCAGTTTTTCTTTTTCTAAATTTAATATCTGTAGACACAGGTTTTCTCATTGTTTCTAGCTTCATCAACACCATTCAGATCCAGATACTCATAACTAAGTCACACAGAAATCAATAGCTTGGAGGAAGATATAAATCAAAAATTCAGTTTGAGACAGATTCAACTGAATCCTCTGTTTTTATAGAATTACCAAGTTGATCTGATGCTTCAGATCCAATTTAGTTCTCTTTGAAGTTTCAAAGAACGTCTTGGTGTTACTCCCACTTGGCTTCAGGGTCTGCTTGCTTTTGCACTGTGCTCTCCTAGTTCTTATGGTGATCTTATCAATACATGACACAATGAATTATCTCATCTGGCTTATCACAGAGCCTGATGCTGATAAGGGCTATGAGGGAGTAGTTGGTCCAACGTCACCAGCCAGTTTCCATGCCTAAGGGAGCACTAGAACCTGGGTTATCCTACTGCTGGTCCAGCTCCTTAACCAGTCCACCACGCTGACTCTTTTTTTTCCTAGAAACAGCACCGAAGTCATAGGTCTTTATATTTTCCAGGACATTATTGAGCTCCATCTAGCTTACAGCCCTAGGATTCCCTGCTGATCTAATCAGAATTTAACCAGGTCTGACCTACATAGATGATCATGTCCCAAGATTTTATTTCTCTTTGTTTTAGCAGACCTTGGCATATTTGTAACTGTACTTGGTTATAGTTTGCTACTGTTACCTTTTAAACAATAATGACAATAGTGATAGTAATAATAATACCAGTAAGGATTTGTTGCATAAAGTTAAATCACTGCAAGGAGGCTGAGAAAGAGCATATTGTCATGTCCGTACTTCGATTTGATCACTCTATTTTTAACTGAGTTCATCTTGATATATTCACGTCTAAGCCTTTTCCACGCCACTCTGTACTTTCACCTGTGGTGAAACAAACATGGACTATTTCATGTAAATACATATTTAAAGAGGAGTCTTTCAAATGTATTTTCTCTCAGACCATGCTTTTCTAACATACTCTGTCAAAGTGCTCTCATATCCTATATACATATTTTTCAATGCCTGGGTGATTTTTTTATTTTTATTTTTTTGATCCAGAAAGCACAAGACCTGCAAGATAATTTTATTCTGACTGTCACATTATGTGAAAGCTGTTTTAAGCCAGTTGGCATTGGAATATGAAAACATGCTCCGTATTTTATTTTATTTATTTTATTATTTTATTTTATTCCAGCCCTGTCCTATATTTTTGGGTACAGCACCATAATAATGTTTCATTCCTATTTTTAAAATCTGATTTCTACTGTTGCTTGTGAATTACTAGATTTGTGGTGGGAATGTTAAGTATATCATTGTAGTATGGTATAATCCCTGCATGGCTGAAAAAGGCCACAAAGAATTATTGAAGAGTGAACAAGGCAAAATGAAGTGTTGTTGTGCACAGGCACAAAATTCCTTTGGCTTCCATTTTAATATGAAGTGGCTAAATCCATACTCTTCAAAGCAGTCTTTGCGTTCCAGTGCTAGCCTCTGTTGCATGGAAAGGAAAACAAAAATGCAATTATGAATTGTGTTTAAAAACAGAAATCAAGCCTTATTCAGTAAATCTCGGCACCTGGTGATTTGATGAACGCACCCTTGTAGGATTCTCTTTCATTTGGTTTTGGCAAATATACAGAAATAATTTGCCACTGCCCTGAGACTTTTTTTCCCCTTCCCAATCTATTCTCTCTATCTCTTTCTGTTGATTTTTTTAGAAGTAGAGATCTGAACCTTGCTCAATTTGATTTAAAAGGAGTAGTACCTATGGGGTGTGATCTGGAAAACTAAACGAAACTAAATATTACTACACTACAGTATAGTTAAAAAAAAAAAAAAAAAAGCTAAAATCCACAGCTGAGTAATGCTCAGATAGGGGAAACAGTGCCTGAAAACCCCAATTGTTGTTGTAATTAGTCCAGTTACAACAACAACATAACATTGACAACTATTGTACTTACTTGTGGATTCTTTATGATGGTTACTCAGGAAGACTAAGCTCCATATTTCATGTAATCTGTTTTTGCATCAAAGTCTGAGTACCTCAAGAGGAACTCTGCTTACATTCAAATCATCTGAAAAATGTCAACCCATCTCTGTTTTGGTTACTCAGCACCAAACTATATAAAAGAATGAATGATATATGAGATGAGATGTTTCAGAGGAGAACAATTCCCTTCCTCTCCCCAACAGACAAAAAAATCATACTGTTCCATATGATGGCTGGTTTTGAGTAGTGTTCCTCAGCCCCAGCTCAACCAGTTGGAACATCTATACAACCTGACAGATCTTACAACGCTAAGCATCATCAGACCAGATTAGTACTAATGAGTCTACTAGGGAATCCCAGGCAAGACTGAGAAGTAAAAAATGAAAAAGAAAAATCCCCAAAGTAAACACTGGCAAATCTCTTTCATACTGATGCCAATAAAACTACATGGCTTCACAAAAAGTTGAGCTTGACTCAAGGAAGACTGTATCTTTGCCTTTATTTTAGTCCTGAAATTGCTATCCAAACTGAGATTCACAAATTAGTCAGCGTCCCAAAGCATTGCTGATGGACATCCTGCTAAGGCCATTTTTTTCAACATTATCTCTGCACTGTGGGAACATCTGTACTCTGATTCCAAACCTGTCTTGGCCACTCTTATGCACTTGTATTTTGGTTGTTGAAACCAGCAGAAAAGCCCAAATCAACCGCCAGCCAACCACCTCAAAGGCTGACCTTAACCACAATCCTAAGCCATGTTTGCTTAATTATAGTTTGATAAAAAGGCATTATTGGTTGGAGTCACACAGCCTATTATAAATTATGGCTACCAACCTTGTGAAAATGTTTGGAGAGCATGCAAACCCTAAACAAATGGAACCTATTTTGGCTTGTTCCAACTTGTGAACTCTCACTTGAATAAGACTTAATATTCCAAGCAAGTTTGCCATTCATGTCAAAACTCAACAAGTCCTTCTGGCTGCTGGCATCAGTCCTCCATTTGTTTTAATGCTGGTGAGAAAAAATAAGGCCATTTACCCAGATATGTTGTCTAATCACTTACTTTTATCTCTGGCCCTGCCCTTGTTGCTTTTGCTCTCGATCCTGGTAATGTGGCTTATGGTATAATTTGGTTCTCACATCCAAGGATCCACAAGGATGACAGACCGTGCAATATTTTTGTGATAAAGAAAAATCAGTGGAAACAGGAGAATGCAGCCTGTCAAGGAAAAGCAGCACTCTGTTCCATGCAGTTCAGACCTTAGAGATCTTAATTCCAAAATCTAATAATTTGGAAGATTTAATGCAAAGTCTCAGCCACATAAATGTTGGTTGACTAAACAAGAGT